AACCAAACTCCTAACCTCTTCTACACCTAAACCCCAAATTTTCAAAACTAAACAACCTAATATAAGTTCCCTAAACTAACCACCTAATCTAAATTCCCTAAACCCTAACCTTAAACCTAAACCCTAAACCTAAACCAACTTCCATAACTTATACCTATACATCTTCCTAAACCCCAAATCACAAATTTTTTTTAAAAAAAACTAAAAGAAGTATACAGTCATCGGAACGGTTTTTATCAACCCCACATAGCTTTCCTCGAACTATTTACCTGAAGAAAAGCCCCAAGCTATTTCTTTGAGGAAAAGCTATGAGGAGTTGATAAGAAACTATTATGTTGACTGTGAACTTCTTTCAGTTATGAATTGAGTATTTTGCATTTGTTTGGTGTGTTTCAAATGAATCACATATGGTGGTATTTATAGAAATTTTCGAATCTGAGAATTTACTAAGAAATTGCTAGGAAAAGTAGGTACAAAATTTAAATTCGATATTTTCTATATAATTCCTCTTAATTTCGTAGTAACAAAACTCATTCCTCTTAATTTCGTAGTAAGCAATTACTAGGACTTTACGAGGAAACTGCTTTACTAGGAAATAGCTATGCCCGCGTTTTTTTCCTCGTAAAGTCCTAGTAATGTTACTACGACTTTACGAGGAAACTGTTTTCTCGTAAGAATACGAGAACCTTACGAGGAAACATGGTTTCCTCGTAAACTCGAAGTAAACTCGTATTAATTTTACGAGGAATTATTTTCCTAGTAAAGTCTCCTAGTAAATGTTTAGTTTTCTTGTAGTGTTTGCCCACTGTATCATGCCACGAGTTTATCTACTGGCTTAGGCCATGACCTTTTCCTCATAAGCAGGAAGATATCATGCTACATATCGACGATACAACCATATGGTCCATTTCAGTTATGCGCACTCTAGAATATATGATTCCTACTAACTGATTTGGCCACATGCCAATTAGGACACTCACAACTAAGACAAGTGCCACAAAACAGATCTTGTAGGCCATTGTAATGCAAATTTGGGACCATGAGTCCCCCAAGATCAGCATATCATACATGAATCTGTGCTAATGACTTAAGAGAAAATATCTCCTACCATCATGTTCCTTCGCATTGAAGAATATCCTACCATATTTTCATACGATTAAAGCATCGATAAACCAAGAAACCTCCAAGAAGATACATCATGCTCACACCACTCGTTGGTCTGCTGTGAAGGTACGATTCTGTTCAACTGAAAGACACCGACCCCACTTCATGTATGAACTAGGAAGATGAGGGGAAGACTGTTAGAGATAATTAATTCAGGACGTCAATCTTTATGATTTGAGTAGGACGTCGATCTTCTCCTCCTACTTAACCTTTTTTGGCCTCCGGATCATGTTTTCCTCATGCCTCCCGGTAAAATGGAAAGTCTCTACTAAAGGGGGAACTTTTCATATTTCAGGGAATGAAAGAATATAACATAGATTTCAACTAGAAATACCTACAAAAGGACTCATAAACTCTAGAAGGAGAAGATCGACTATTAATCACTACTATAGAAGCATAAAGCTAGAACTACAGTTCATGAACCAATATCTTGTACTTCTGCCATATTATCAATAAAACATTATCTTTGATTTATTTGTTTTGCTTTACTACTTTAACTTTTGTTTCTGTAGTATCACGAAAAATTCTACTTATTTTAACTTACAATACTCATTTTTTATTGTAGTTACTATTCACTTCAGAAGTTTACCCACAAAAAAATATTAATTCCGCAATAACGAAAAAAAGGGCAAGTAGTTTTTTTGTGAGAGTTTAGAGAGAAATAGGAAGATAAATGAGGAGAAAATAAGTGTTTTTGATTAGATAATGAATTTGAATTTTTAAATGTATATATTTCCTCGTTATTCATTTTATTTTTATTTTTTGTTTCCTTCATTTAACAGTCACCTATAAAAACGTAACTGAGCAACAAAATTCAAAGTGAGGGTTTTGTTGAGAGGCCATGTTCCATGTTGAGGATCCAGCTAGAGATCTTCTAGCTTTTTCTTAGTTATCTCTTCAAAACTGATTGGCTCCTCGATGATTGCCTTCTCTTTGTCTCTTACTTTTAGCGGATACACGGTGGCATGGGGAGCCGGAAAGAGGAATGTGTTTATGAACAGTCTGCTAGAGTTTGAGTCCACCACCGCCTGATGGTCGGAAGCCATGAACCTCCCGTTGCTCAGGTACTTCGAGAAAAAAACATATTTGATTAAATCAAAATTACAAACTTAGAAAAAATGAAGAAAAATGCAACAAATCAGAATGTCAGAAATTACTAACGTGACCAATGTCACCGAGATTGATGACAAGCGCTCCTGGAACTAAGGGAACCGTAATCCATGTCTTGCCGTTGTCCCTTGTAGCTTGTAAGCAACTGACTTGGTCTTGGAGTAGCAAAGTTATAGTTCCATGGTCAGTGTGACGCATCCCGAGTGCTAGGTCAGGTTTAGGGCGTTTTGGGAAATAATTAACAACGATTTTCTGCTCCATATCAACGCATGCATTTTTTAGGGCATCTTTCTCAAGTCCCATAGCTTCAGACAAAACCTCAAGGACCTTATAAGCCAAACACATCAGCCTCTCGCTATACTCAGCCGTCACTTTTAACCATCCATCCGGCTTATCTGGCCACCTTGAGTAGTCTCTGTTACTCACAGGGTACGTGGAATAGAGCACTATCTCCCTCCAGTCCTTCATAGCCTCTCCCTACATATGAAAATTCCTATATAAATATCACGATTAGAAAAATAGAATTCTTTTTCTAATTGTGGTGTGTTAATTAATTACCTGGAGGTGACTAGAGACGCTGAAGCCGCCCTTACCACCACGCAGCTTCTCCTCAGTAGTTAAGGCAAAGAAATCTCTCGCAAGGTGAGTCATATCAGCCATCAAATTTGTATCGACACCATGGTCGACCGCTTGGAACATGCCCCAGTTCTCGAAAGCGTCCACGATCTGACAGCACATCTCTTCTCTTTTCCCACCAACATCATCGATTCCAGAGAGAGATATCACTGGAATTTCGTCACTCGAAATTCCCGGAGCCATTGATATATTCAGTAAAATGAAAGTAAACTAGCTAGCTTACTCATCTTCGTATATAGAGTGTCTCTTTTATAACCTCTGAAGCTCTAGCAACCACCATACAGCATTTCTTAACTCTTCATGTTCCACCACTAAAGTTGGTACTATGTCCAATATCATTAAGTTGGCCTACTCATACCAAATTTTGGTACGTATTAAACTTTTGTAATATTCACCCACGTCTCTCTAACATCTTTAATTGAAAACCTGTTATTTTCTAAAAGTTTCACATAATTGTAGTAAAATCCAAGTTCTTTTAAAACAAATTAACTTTAAAACGTGAAATCACATACATATGATGCCATGAAAAATCTAAAGGTTATTAAAACTACGTACCGATGTAACATAACTGATGATTTCAAACACTCAATTTTAAACTGATTATATTTTTTAGAACTGATGTTCTACACCAGTATAACCTTTTAAACATATCTACTCATATAAATGAAAATATATTTTTAATAATTAAAATTTCCTTCTCATAATGTTCTAAATTCGGTTTCAGCAGCGCAAAAATGGTTCATATCGAAAACGATTTTTTCTAAAAAAAAAAAAAAATTGATTCAAACTGTTGAACAAGGTGTTATTAAATAGTAGATTTAAAGTTAATTCATTAAAATATACTAATCTTTCGTTATTCAATGATTGAGTATATATCTAATCAGTTAACTTATAATCTTATTTTTATCTACTGATAAAAGATTGTCATTTAAATTTTTAATGGTCCAACAATACAGTGTAACAATATTTAGAGCATTATAAATACTTTTATTATAATTCAGTATCTAAAAATCCGGTCTTCCGAATATATTTATTTTGGTTAAAATTTTATATCTAAGTTATGTTCATATATTTTTAGTGTATAAAATTTAAATACTTTTATACGAAATATTTTTTACTTCAAACACTATATACTTATAATAAATGCATAAGAAATATTTACATAATGCTTTTTATAGTGATCTATTTGGTAAAGTTGGTATATTTTTGTTAACTATATATATTATATTATATTTGTATAGTGTTTCTGTTTTTGTAACATATAATATTATGTTTTGTAATTGTTTTCATATAGTGTTTTGTTTAGTAAAATTGGTATGCTTTTAATATTATATATATATATATATATATATGTGTGTGTGTGTGTGTGTTTTATATTCTATTTTAGCAATCCACTAAATTGTTGACCCGCACTTACTATTTTTATTGTTTTATTTATAGATGAATCGATAAGTCTTTTGCTTTGATGATATAAAATGTCACAAAATCAAAATCAAATTATCATGCGGGCATAAAGAAATTTTTATTTTACAATGTCTCAGACAAATTTTTTATGTTTCTAAATATATTAACAACGGTTGTACCTCAAATTTGTACTTGAGAAAGATTGTATGTTTAACAGTTAAATGATCCATTTTTTTTAGTTTTGTGATTAATTCATAAAATCATTTAGTTCACTATCTAATATAACTTTTTAAAATTAATGCAGATTTTAATTTATTATTATCATCAATATCTATGTAAATGTATTGTATATAATTGTGTAGTTTTATTTGGAAAAAATAATATTAATTAATTACGTCTGATGTTGGGAAGCGGGTCAACTCACTTCGTTCAACCCACTATGCAGTGGATTGAGTCATTTTTACGACTCGAAAATGTGAAATGCCTGATCCGTAGGGAAAATATATTTTGCAAGAAATATTTTTAAAAATTTGAAAGAGAATCAGCCAATTAATGAAATTCATTATTATAAAAATTTTAGGTCCAAATAAAAATGACCAAATTATCATTAGTGATAAATTAAATTTGTATAGAAGGGTATAATTGGTAAACATAAAAAAATTTATTAAACAGAATGTTTCTATTTTTAAGGTGTTGAATAAAATTTGTATAGAAGGGTATAATTGGTGATAAATTAAATTTGTATAGAAGGGTATAATTGGTAAACATAAAAAAATTTATTAAACAGAATGTTTCTATTTTTAAGGTGTTGAATAGTTGCACATTAGTTCCTGGATTCGCCTATCCTGAGAAGAAAAAGAATATAAATCGGTCTACTTGTTCATAACATGAAACTGCAAATTAAAATAGGAACCATCTGAGCATATCAATACCCATCAGAGCATATCAATACCCATCAGCTCACCTCTTTGAACTGGTTGTTTATAGCGGCCTGACTCAAAGCAGATAAATAAAGCTGAGAAATTGCTTTATCACTATCGTCCATTAAAAAAGAACATGAGCGATATATCTCTATAATATTATTTGAGAAGTCAGTTTCCTATGTGTCGCGCTCACGTTAACTTTCACGATGGTTGATTACATAGATACCCTTAATGAACTAAAATATTATATCTAATTTCCATTACTATTAAAATTTTATTTATTTTTAATTTATCTTTTCTTTTCTTTATTTTCTTTCCAAATGATATTTATAATAAAAGTAAACATTGATTAATGAACTATAAATTTTAAAAACGAAATATGTATAATAAATAAGTTGATTTCATAAAAAAAAGGAAACTTAACAATAAAATTTTTATTAAAGGAAGAAAACTAAATTTTTAAAACAAAAATATTTCACATATATAATTTTAGTTCATAAAAAAGGAAAGTTCACAATAAGCATCTTAATATTAGAAATATATTCCTTTTAATACATAATCTTAAATAACATAATGTATATATTTTTAAAGTAATAATAATATTTTCTTTACATCAAGCTATATTGTCAGATGATCAAAACTAACTTAGATAACATAGCATAAATTGAAGTTTCTTTATGAACTAAAAGTATTTTAAAACTAATATTACTAAGGGTTTTACATATGTTTTGCATAATAATTTGTTAACATAATTTTAATTGAAAATTTCTTTGTATTTTTTATTAGACTACATAAATTAAAAATATCTCGAATTATCTAAAGTATATTTATATTTTTCTTATATAAGATGATTTCAAAATATTAAATATAAAACAAATGTTTGAGTATTTATTTTTAAAAAGTAAAAGTAAATTAATATTTTTTTATATAAAATAATCTCTAGAAAATTTTGTTATTTACTTAAAATACTAAACAATATACTTTAAAAATAATCTTAAGCAAGATGACATTATTAGAAAATGTAACTATTTTTTTATAATTCTATCTTAATAAAATAATTACAGAAATATTTTAAATATTATAAGTCAATATATTTTTAGCGAACTATAGATATTTACTTTACTTCTTTTTTCTTAATCTTTAGTTGATTTTAAATTTTAATTTATATTTTTAACAACCACTGTCTCCTTTATAATTTGAACTCCCACACTAATCTGAATTCTTATGTTTAAAATTACTAATATAGTTTTTAATTTATCGTTTATACATCAAAATATATATTATTTTTAAAATTATATCGGTCATGTTCTTTTATGTTGTCATATTAATCATCAACTTAATTTTTATTGGTTTTTTAAAATCAACATCAAATATACAAAAAATGAAAATCTATTTACACATCCTAGATAAAAAAAACATAACTCCCACATTAAATAAAACTGATCTTATTTGGTTTAGCTGGAATAAAAATAGATGTATTTATAATTATATTTTTTATATATAAGAATAATTATAGTAATATCAACAAAAAAATGCAATATAATATATCCAAATAATAATTAAATCGATTAGATACTATATATCTTAAATCACATGTCAGATTAAAACNTGTTGATTTTATATTTGTGCATGAACACGGAAAAATCACATAATCCAACTTATATCTAAAATCATAGATTTAACTACAATAAGAATATATAGTTTTATAATAATAATAATTTATTTTATAAATATAAATTATAAGATGACTCAAAACATATTAAAAATGAAAATAAAATATTAACCAACTGTTGCAATCAGTTATTTTTTTAAATTTATATACATGCATGAGACTTCAGAATATTTTTGTTATATTAATTTATGTAATTTAGAACCAGACACTTTAGTTTATTGTTATTTCATTCTAAAAACAATATATACTAAGTTATACATAATCTTCCTAAAATATATTTACGTATCTAACACAACAACTAACCTAAATACAAATAAGAAAATTAATCAAAATTTAATATATTTAGAATAAAAAACATTGTAGTTGAATTTAGAAAAATAGATACAGTCCAATAAATGATAACTAAATCGACTGTAAAAATAACAAAACCAATTAGATATAACAAATCTACATTCATCTGCTAAAGTACTATAGTATTATTAATATAAATTATGCATATAAATTATAAATTAAAGTAAATAACAAGCAATTTTTATAGTATATTTGTTTTATAAATATTTATATCTGTGCATGAGCACGGGAAAATCACCTAGTTCTTATGATTTCTGGAAGTGAGGGATTTTTCTTGGGACTCTCAGAAGGTGCAATTAAATCGGGCCTCAAAATTTACAGAACCAGATTGAAAACTGGTAATTTTGAAAACCCAACAAGGCCTGCCACAAAAAAGGATACACGGTATTATTTGCTCCATGAAAAAATAAAAAGTTAAACTTTAACTTTGTTGTAATTGATATTTACATTAATTATAAATGAAGTCACTTAAATAAACGAGTCTGAAGTGATTGGCTATTGCTGTAGATGCTCTCCACAGCTATAATTATACTTACAGCCATATATGTACACCAATCATGATTTTTATTTTTTCTACAGCTCACAGCCATTTTTTTTAATTCTACAGCACTTCTTTAAATTCATGTCTTTATAATTGCTCTGCAGAGACAAATACCTACAGCTCATATTTAAAGGCTTTTAAAAATTAAAAATCTAAAGCCAAAGCAAAAAAAATTACAACAATATTTCTACAGCCAAAAAATAAAATCACAGCTCTTACCAATCACCCCCGATGATGCAACATTTATTAACATTATTTATTAATAATGGATGTAAAAATATTAAATATTTGC